GCTGCCCAAATTATATCAATCTTATTCCTTCTCTATCTAGTTTTAACCGGAGTGGTTTCAATATCTATCTTATCAATAAACCTCTTGGTACTCGTCGTATCCCTTGTTCCTCTTTTCTAACGGAGTGTTTTCAACTTTGTTCATCTTTGTTGTTCTCTTTCTTTCATTTTGCTCAACCTCTCAATGTTCATGGTTTCACTCGTTTGTCGAAGAAGCAACTTAGTTTACCTCTTATCTTCCTCTTCCTTTTCCCTCCGGTGCCATCCTAGATCTCGGGACGAGATCCTCTCGTAGTGGTGGAGTGTTGTAACGCCCCGGATACAACTTTCCATATTCGTAACTCCAACTCTTGCCTTTTTCGGAGATGCGATATGATATTTCCTTTGTGGTTGGGTTTTTGTCTTTTGTTTTGCATTTTGTTCTTGTCATGCATCTCATCTCATGGCATCATGTGCATTGCATCCGCATGTTTTCGTAAAAATCGCACCCGTTTGTAGTTGCCGCGTTCCCCTTGCCTCCTTTGACCATTCCGAGACCAACCGGGTGTTTTCGTTCCCCTTTTGTCCGACCACCTAACCTCTCTTGCCAGCTCGCAGCCCCCCTCGCGCGCGTGTCTGAAACTCCCCCGAACCCAACCCGCTCTGTCGTTACCGTTGAGTCCGGATCATCCCCTAACATCTATAAAACATCTCTGTTTTCTTATTTGGACTCTCCCGGTGTATTTTTCTCGACCGTTCGATCTTGATCGGAGGGTCTGTTTTGCCCCTAAGCTAGTCCACCTAGCTATTTAAACAGCCCAACCCTAATTTCTAGGCCTCATGTCTCGTCCATCCCCACGCCGCCGCCACTCCACCGAATCCCCTCGGGATCCCTTCTCCTCGTTTTCCTCCAGCTACCAACCAGCTCTCCCCACTGCTCCTCCTCGATCTAGGTGCCCGCGCCCCTGATCCAAACTCCCCTTCGATCTCTCCTTGCCAACTAGTGCCTCCCCTGGATCCCGTCGTCTTCGTGTGCCACGCTGGAGTTCCACCTCGCCGGAGCACAGGACCTCCTCTGCCGCCGGTGAGATGCCCTGCTGCTGCTCCTCCGTTTTCCCCTGCACCTCCCGTGCCTCACATCTCTCTCTCGACCTCCTAATGCAGCACCATGGATGGCTGCAGCCCAAGCTCACGCCCGACCCTCTTAGATCCACCTTTGCTCCGCCTCAAGTCACGTCCTCGCCGGGCCTCTCGCGCGCCCGAGCCCCACCTTGCGCATGAGCCTCCTCGCTCTCCTCATCGACCCAGGGAGAGGAGCTCCTCCGGAAGCCCTTTTCGTCATCGCCGTTCGGTGCCGTCGGTGAGTCGTCCACCAAGCTAGCCCTCGCGCCCCTCTCCTTCATCTCCCTCTGCTCTAATCTCTCTCTCTCTCTCTCTCTCCCGGAGCTCTCATCTCTCCCTCCGCTTCTTCTAGCAGGAACCGGACAAAGCCCCAGCTCCCGTCGCCGCCCTGCTTTGTTCGTCATCTTCTCCGCTCGATCCAGCAAGGCTCTGCGTCTCCGGCCTCTTCCCGCCTCCAGGTCGCTGCGCCTCCGCCCGCCGCCATCTTCTTCCCGGAGGTCGTCCATCGCGGCAAGTCCCGCCGTCGTTCCGCTCTGTCTTGGCCAGTTCGAGCGGACGAGCGCTCGCCCGTTGACCGCATCGACCTCCCTTGCTTCTGCATCGAGCAGGAGAGGACGCGCGCGCCCAGCCGCAGATCCTCTACTCGTTGACCCTCCGCGCTGACCCGATCCCTTGCCTCCACTTCGATCTGCCTGCCAGGCCCGCAACCGCAGCATGCATCAGGCCCAGCTCGGCCACTTCCTCCACCAGATCCGGCCTCGCTCGGCCTGCCTCCATCAACCTGGGCCAGACCCGCTGGGTGAGCCTCCAGCACCCGCACCCTGGGCCAGATCTCAGTTTCGGGCCGTAGTGTTTTTGTCCTGCTGCTGCGATTTTCGCATTTATCCAGAGAAAGGTTGTTTTACAGATTGCACCCTCATGTTCATGCATTTAATAACTCCACAACCGTGCATCGGATTAAAATGATTTAAACATGTAAAATGCTTAGAATTTCGTGTAGTTTAATAATGTGCCATTTTCATCCATGTTTGAAACGTTTAAAGTGCTGTTGATTAAATTTGCTCAAATGTCATGCTAAAATGATTTATTTCATAACTAAATAACCGTAGCTCCAATTTTAATAAACTTCATATGTAAATGGGGTGGAAAAATGCCTAGTTTAACATGGTGCACTTTATTTTCCTGTTTAACAACATTAAAATATGTTTTAGGGCAGAACAGTAGCTAATTCAAAATATGGACATGAGGATTTTCCGGAATTGTTGTTTGTTATTCCGGCCTCATTTAAACCTTTCTAGATAGTTAATTTTTCATGTGCTTCACCCCTTGCCATCTTAATAACATTTAATATTGTTGGGTACATAACCGAGAGAGAACTAAACAATTGATGTGGTGTTTCGTCAATATGCAACTCGTTGCATATTGAGCTCCACTTAACTTGTAGTATTGTTTGTTGCACTTTGCCATGCCATGCCTCATTAAACCGGACATGCATCATACTTGTTTGTGCATCATGCCATGTTTGTGTTTGTGCATTTACCATGTTGTTTGTTTCTTTCCGGTGTTGCTTCTTAGTTCTGGTAATGTTGCGATTGTGAGGATTCGTTCGACTACTCTCGTTCGTCTTCTTCATGGACTCGTTCTTCTTCCTTGCGGGATTTCAGGCAAAATGACTGTCACCTTGGATCTCATTACTATCATTGATATGCTAGTTGCTTCGTTCTATCGCTATGCTGCGCTACCTATCGCTTGCTCTTCAAGCCTCCCAAATTGACATGTCAGCCTCTAACCTTTTCACCCTTCCTAGCAAACCATTGCTTGGCTATGTTACCGCTTTGCTCAGCCCCTCTTATAGCATTGTTAGTTGCAGGTGAAGTTGAAGATTGCTTCATGGTGGACAGGATTATGTTGGGATATCACAATATCTCTTATTTAATTAATGCATATATATACTTGGTAAAGGGTGGAAGGCTCGGCCTTATGCCTGGTGTTTTCTTCCACTCTTGCCGCCCTAGTTTCCGTCATACCGGTGTTATGTTCCTGGATTTTGCGTTCCTTACGCGGTTGGGTGATTTATGGGACCCCCTTGACAGTTCGCTTTGAATAAAACTCCTCCAGCAAGGCCCAACCTTGGTTTTACCATTTGCCTCACCACCACCTATACCTTTCCCTTGGGTCGGCCAACCCGAGGGTCATCTTTATTTTAGCCCCCCCGGGCCAGTGCTTGTCTAAGTGCTGGTCCGAACTGAGCTGCCTGCGGGGCCCCATCGGGGAAACTCGAGGTCTGGTTTTACTCGTAGCTAGTCTCATCTGGTGTTTCCCTGAGAACGAGATATGTGCAGATCCTATCGGGATTTGTCGGCACATCGAGCGGCTTTGCTGGTCTTGTTTTACCATTGTTGAAATGTCTTGTAAACCGGGATTCCGAGACTGATCGGGTCTTCCTGGGAGAAGGATTATCCTTCGTTGATCGCGAGAGCTTATCATGGGCTAAGTTGGGACACCCCTGCAGGGTATTATCTTTCGAAAGCCGTGCCCGCGGTTATGTGGCAGATGGGAATTTGTTAATGTCCGGTTGTAGATAACTTGACACCAGATTCGACACATCAACCGTGTGTGTAGCCGTGATTGTCTCTTCTCGGCGGAGTCCGGGAGGTGAACACGGCTTTGGGTTATGATTGACGTAAGTAGGAGTTCAGGATCACCTCTTGATCATTGCTAGCTTCACGGCCGTTCCATTTGTTCTCTTCTCACTCTTATTTGCGTATGTTAGCCACCATATTATGCTTAGTCGCTGCTGCAACCTCACCACTTTACCCCTTCCTTCCCATTAAGCTTTGCTAGTCTTGATACCCATGATAATGGGATTGCTGAGTCCTCGTGGCTCACAGATTACTACAACAACAGTTGCAGGTACAGGTTATGCGATGATCATGACGCGAGAGCGATGTTTGCTTGTTTTGGAGTCCTTCTTCTGCTTCTTCTTCGATCAGGGGATAGGTTCCAGGTCGGCAGCCTGGGCTAGCAGGGTGGATGTCATTTGAGTTTCTGATTGTGTTTCATCTGTAGTCGGATGTTGCTCTTATGTATTGTGATGTTGTATTCATGTGGCATTGTATGCCTTTTGTATGTATCCACATTTATTATGTAATGTTGATGTAATGATATCCACCTTGCAAAAGCGTCTTCAAGATGCGCTTCTATCCTTGTTGGGACCTTCGAGTTCCTTTAGGATAGGGTCGCATCTTGGGCGTGACAGCTGTGCAACACAATACATTGACGGGTGCATCAGACACGTATATATGAGTACAAAAGGGGGGTCACAACCTCAACTATACAGAGAAACTAGGAGATGGACCCAAGACACAATATACACGTACACAATATATTCAACAACCTGGATGTGTGGACGTACTAGAAAAAAGGACCCCACTACAAATCTGACGTCATATTTTTTACCATAGTAAATTGAATGTTTTTTATGATAAATTATGTTCTTCGAGAAGGACAAGTTTTGTCGGTGAGCATAACAAGTTCACCTCAGCTAAAAAAATTATCAGAAAATTCTTTATAGGAGTAATGGCATGCATAATTGGAAGAAAAAAAGATGGCCGCACCAAATACAAAATGTATCTAGAAATCTGGGTGTGTAGATCTTTGATACAACTATGTGATGCTTAATTGCAACCAAATTGTTACTCTCTCCGTTTAATAATTCTTTTGTGGTTTTACTTTCCGATGGGCTGCGAATGGTGTTGTGTATATACACTGTCGATATTCTGCAACGTACTGTCATTTTGCTAGTTCCTCGTAAATTCAGGCAACCCCTCCATTTTTCGCTCCCAAAGGGGCCTAAAATGCGGACACGGCCAATAAATGGGAAACATGCGTGCGTTGCATCTAGGCGAACTTGGCGAGCTCGACGGCGAACGCGGCCGCATGAGGCTCCTCGACGCAGCGGAGCACCACCCGTATGCCCCCACGCTTTGGCGCCGGCGGCCTGACGTAGTTGAGCGACGCGACGAAGTTGACGTGGTCGTTGAGCGGGAACACGTACCCTGGCGCGCCGAAGCCGTAGTCCACCTCGTGGAAGCCGACGCGGCTCCAGTCTGACACAGTCACCGTGCTGTAGTCGAGCGGCACGTCGTAGTGATCGACGCCGCGCATCCAGCCGGCGAACCGCGCCGGGACCGCCTCCTTCGCTTCCCGTACCGCGCCGACGACCTCCGCCAGCGACGCCTCCCGGACCGCCTTGCCTGCCTTAGTGACGCACGCCAGGTACACGCAGTTGCCGTAGTAGCCGTCCACCGCCAGCAGCACGCCGTGGAGAAGGTGCCGCGTGCCGGCGGCGAAGGCGACCCGGACAGCGGCATCGTCAGGGAGCGCCGACGCCAGCGCCAGCGCGCGGCACTTGAACAACACGGCCGTCACCGCGTCAAAGGTGGAGCACACCTCCCCCCTCGATGTCGCGGCAGCCTGCTTGAACTCGTCCTTGACGCGCGCGATGCTCTCTGCCGATATGTCGGCCACCTGGGTCACGAGCCTGAACTCCGTGAGCTGAGGCGGCGGCGGGCTTGGAGGGTCCGGGATCGCGTCGCGGTCCCACACCGGAGTCACTGACGGCACCTGGAGCCCCCGCGCTAGCTCCCCCACCGCCGTGAGGAACTGCGCCGCGCCCTGGCCGTCGAACACCGCGTGGCTGAAGCTGATCCCGACGGCGAAGCCACCACAGGTGAACCTCGTCGCCTGGACCATGAGGATGAGGCCATCGAGCTTCTCGCCGGGGGGAGGGCGCGGGAGGAGGAGCTCCCCGGGGATGAGCAGCGGGCAGCAGTCGAGGCCGTCCACGTCGGCAAGCGCGCAGCTCGCGGCGGCCTCCACGAACCAGACGCCCTCACCAGTACAATCGACTGCAAGGCCACTCGGGGCGACGCGGCCGGCCACCGGGTACACGGTACAAGCGCCCTCGTGAGCCCGTCGCGCATCGCGGCCACGGCCGTGCCCGGCTCCTTGCGGGCGGCGGTGAACGAGGGCGGGGGAAATACCTGGATGAGGTTAACCAAGCCGGCGCCGCCGGCGGTCCTGTCAATGGAGGAGAGCGCGAGGGTGCCGCCTGGGGTGGGCACTGCCGGCGCGATGACCTCCGGCGGCGACTTGGCAACGGTGGGCCTGCTGGTCGAGCCAAGGAGGCAAAATGTAGCGTTCGCGGCGGCGGGAATGCAACTGGAGGCGAAGAGATTTGCCCCCCTCGGTGTATTATACTCCGCATCTTTGAATTTTCAGAAGAGTGCCTCGCCGGCGGCGACTTGGCAACGGTGGGCCTGCCAGTCATACGGAACTCGGTAATGAGCCAGTGTGGCCAAATGTCGTCGTTGGCGGCCGCGGAGACACAGAAATTTGTCCCCTCGGTGTCACCTGTTTGAACTTTCAGAAGAGTAACATTGTGTTGTGGTAGTATCTCCGGCCTGTGTTTGTCCACTGTCTTGTGGTTAAAATTCAGAGATACTACTGCAACTCCGGAGACACTTTTTTTGCAGCAAGCAATTAATTAGTCCGAGCAAAATCCTCTCCATCAACTAGTAGTCTCCAAGAAAAGAAACGGACCCCGCGATAGCTAATTACATGTACAAGGTAGCGGCGAGGACGACGATGGCGAGCGAGAGAGCGAGCGCAGGATTTGATTTAAATGCTATGCTAGCTAGCTACAAGTAGGATGGCGCGACGCGGAGGCCCCTGGCGTCGGAGGGCAGGAGCACGAGCAGGAGCAGCACGGCCAGGATGGCGACGGGTACGAACAGGAACAGCGGCGGCGGCGGCGGCAGCGGGGGCAGTAGAAGCGGCAGCACCAGCAGCGCCGCCGTCATCAGCGCCAGCACCACCGCCGCCTCCGCGCCGAAGTACCCTCCTCCGTCGCTCTTCCCGCCGTTCCCCGCCGGCGCCGGCGCGCGTCGTTGCTTGGCGGTCGCCGCCGGAGCCGGAAAAGTCCTCCTGCCGCTGCTGCCGTAAGAGGTGGGACCGGCGGCGTGGCCGCCCATGGTGGCGTCGCACCGGAGCAGGACGGCGTCTCGCATCTACTCCCAGCAATGCCGCTAGCTCGGAGATCCACCCGGCTGGACGCGCTGGCGTACGACCTGGATGTCTGGACTGGAACGGAACGGAACGGAAGCGGGGAAGATGAATTGTTGCGAGGCGATTGCTTCGTTGGGCTGGATTTGGAGTGGTTGTTAGCTTTGCGGCGAGCCGGCGAGGTCAATATATACTCCGTCACTCTCCTTCAATACAGGAGAGGGGGGATGAACCAGCCAGCCGCACGGCAAGGATGGCCATGTGGCACATTTGGCCACTTGGCCAGCGGCACCATCCACGTCCGTAAAAAGGAAACTATACTCGTATTTTTTTGAAGGAAAAAAACTTTTCTTAGAATCATTTGTAACCTTATTCAAACTCTTATTCAAACGTGAATAGAGCATATCTCGGTTGGTTAGGTTGAAACCAAACCACTAGTGTTCGCATTTTTCTGAATTTATTTTAGATTTATTGTAGATGTTTGTCCAATGACGGGACATGTCCCACTCGAAGACCCCTTGCCTCGCCGCACATGACGAAAGATGAGAGAACGAACAGGATCGCAGCAGATGCTCAAACCCTAATCGGCGCATGTCTTCCATGGGAGAAGAAGGGAAATTGTTTATCGAGATTCAAGAAAAAAAAAATGAATGTACTAGAAAAAGGACTCCACTACAAATGAGAGAACAAACGTTTTTTATGATAAATTATGTTTTTCGAGAAGGACAAGTTTAGTAGGTGAGCATAACAAATTCACCTTAGTTAAAAAAAAATATCAGAAAATTGCCATGCTCACAAACTAAAATTGTCATTATCGCACCAATATAAATTGCAATGGAAAACATCAGATTTGTCATGCTTAGAAATCTGACGTTGGATTTTTAGTGTTTCTGTAGAAAAAGAATGCATGTTATTTTGCTTATGGAAGAATTGCAAATATCATCATGCTTCCGGTCCCATAAATGAAATGAACGCGGACAATCCGGTTAAATTCTCACGTCCCCAAACAAGCGTTCGTGTTTGTTCACAAAGGCGCGTGGTGCCACAACCAACGAGCGATGGACCCGACCCGACCCAGCCCAAGCGGTAGGGCAGGGGTGCTGTCCGCACCAGCAAGCAAGCAAGCAAGCCGATGCATGCATCTGTCAGCAGGCAGGAGAAGGACGAGGCAGATCGGGCATCGGAAGAGAGATACTATCGTTCATTCATCATGTGGTGGTGGGGCGTGCCACCGCGACGATGGACTCGACTGGACTGGACTGGACCCGTCCCACTCCGCGGCAAAACCACGGGCGAATCCGTCCCCTGTTTCCGCAAGGTGCATGCACCTCCGTACCAATCTCTTCTTCTTCTACTTTCTTCTTGTGCTGCTGCTGCTGCTGAACCGCTAATTGCGCCTTCCCGTCCCGTTCGCACGTGTGGCGCTGCTGCTGCTGCTGAACTACTGCTACTAGTGATGAACTAATCATCCACCTGCCATATCTTTTGCATGATTCTACTCCTAATTCCTCCAGCTAATTAGGAGAAGTGCGCTTAGTTAGTCTTGCGATTAAACTAGTCCATGAGCATCATCGGTCCACAAATGGCTGCTCCATCCATGGAGCCGGACACGAATCGCGAATTCTCGATCTACCCTGTCTCCTTTGCTTAGTTGGTACATAGATTAGGCTAATATAGCTGTCAGCTGGTGCACAGGACGAAGCAAAGCTAGCAAATGGCGAGCCACGGAATTTTAATACGGCCAAGTGTGCGTCTCCTCCCTACGTACGTGATGGGGTTTATCATTACAATTCCAAATTGCCACATGATGAAACAAATAAAGCTGCTAATTATGCGTACGCTGGTCTGATTAACACAAGTGGATTGGACGGCACACCAACACATGCTGGAATTGACACTTGATCCCGCATAGGTTAACGCCATCTGTAAAAATAATTCTACTTGCCTTGATTATAATGTCCACGTATCGATTTTGCAAATATGAGAGATCAAGCGGGACGGGCGGGGAATAGGAACATCGATAGGTCGGTCGGTCGGTTCTTCGGCCGTCCTGACTTCCTCACTGATGTGGGTTGACACGAACAACCGATGTGTCCCTGCATGTCAGCCGAGTGCACTGTGTGCAGGAGCCAATTTTGCAAGGAAAATCCACATGGACGAACACGTGCCTACATTACCGCCTTGAGAACCACCCATGTGCACGTTGAACATCTTTGGCCAGCACAACCATGTCTTCGTCTGCGTTTTTGGGCGGCCACGGCCACTGTTCCAATTGCGGCACATGCATGCGTGGAGTGTGTGTATGCTGCGTGACCTCGACTGAACTATGTATGGTCCACGGGAAATGGATCCACGTTCTTGTGTTGGACACTTGGACGCACGTCGCTGAGTGGACCAAGTTATGGGCTCAGTCGGCGACCCGTCATTCAACTAGCTATAGCTGATCGGTGGTGGTCAATATGTTCTGACGTCACTCTTTCTCTAATGAAACTGAATCGCTGCAAAATTCTCTCCGTCCGGATTTATTAGGTCCCTTTTATTAATAAAATATAAAATATATGCCACAAAGATTATAATGTGGAAAACCTCCTTTGCAGCATGCCATCACTAACTTTGATCTAATATAAGAGTGTTGGCAGCCTCGTTGTTCCTCAAATAATTTCACTTCTCTGTCCATAAAAATATTCTCCCTAGCTAGCTTCTCTTAGTTTTTGATCTTCCCCTCCAAGCTATGTGGCCGGTAGTGGACCCACCAGATCTTGTAGAAGTGACACCTGCCCCACGTGTGAGCCCACGTCGCCGAGAGTGTTGGAAGATTGGAGCTCTGTCGCCTTGGCCGAGCTCCCCTCTGCCCTTGTGGGCTCCGCCATGAGCTCACCAATCCAACATTATACTTTTTTAGCATATAATTAATATATTATTAGTCATATAGATGGTCAAAGTTTGACCCAAAATACGAGTAGCCCAGTAAACCTGGACGGAGTAAAAGTGAAGGAGAAAACATTTCTATGGTTGCACTATTCATCCATTTGACTTAACAGAATGGACCACACTAAAAACCAAGAGTTTCTTTCCTTTGGTTTGAGTTTCATAGGAACGAATGAATTTTACAATCCACTCCAACCTCACAAAGGCCAAGACAAAAGGCCATAACTAGCGCATATTAACTTAATCTTACCTTTGCATATGTTTTAACCTCATAATTTGACTACTTTATGGGATTCATGTGTTTTTCTTATTCTTGTGAATCAAACATGCAATAATGCAAATTCATGTGTTTTCAATTTTTTTTGTACATGCAATCCTATCATATTGATACGTCTTTCCTATTTTTATGTTTTTTTTAAATCCCGAGTATTCTCATGAGATTTCTAAGGGTTTCTTTCATTCAACTGATTCTCCAAGGAGTTTTGGAGGATTTAATCCTTAGCAATTTTTCCTACTCAAGTTTTTTATTCATAGGATTGTAAACCATAAGATTTTTTTTCATTGGATTCATTTCCACTAAACTTCATACGAAATTTTCCATCCACTCCAACCTCTCCAAATTATTTTTTGCATTTGCACAATTGAAGGTGGAATGCCATTCTATTTCCACATTTTTTTTTCTATTCCTGTGATTTGAAAATCATGTGAATCAATGAGACCCAAAAGAAATGGAGGAATATGACCCTTAGTATTTTTTTTCT